CTATCATTCGGACTTTGCCATGGCTGTTGTCGATAATGTCATCGAAGATATCCGTGTGGGAATGGAGGTTAGTCAAAGGCTTTTTTACGAAAATGAACATTCTGGTCTAATAATTTTCTTTCTATCACTGGCTTAAATGCATCTCATAAACTACCGAAGACTGGCGGCCAATTGTAAATGTTAGCGAGTTCTAAGTTTTCAACTATATACAAAAAGATGTAAATTAAATGAATCATTTATGGTACATATCGATCAGTATCCAAAACGTCCTACCCACCTAAAGTGTACTGTATATAGAAGTATTCGAATTCCTTACTCGTTTGATAAAAATAAAATACATTTACGCCTGACCTGAGTGACAGTAATTTCTCTATTGCTGTCTCTAGTGTCTTAATCGTTACGTTATTTTATGACACTTTTCTGTCAAAGTAGTCATCTGTATATTCTTTTGGGTGTTTTTTTATTACAAAAGTCTGTTTAGTGCTCGTGAGTTTGTCGATTTAAGAACTGTTTAAAGCAAGTAAACAGAATGCCATGCGTAACTTTCTCTATCATGTCATTGTACTCGGTTAAGTAACTATTGTAATCACTATGGTTTCATTTTCACTTCTGATCAATTTAATGACCTTAAAATTTTTATTTAGTTGTACATGTTCACCATCAGAATATATGGAAGTTTACCTTATTTCAGGCTCGGAAAGCTGTATATGACTTCACTTCTATTTGCTTTTCAGCTCAACCTTCCCAGTTTAAATCAGCGTCGAATTGTAATGGTAAAATACCTTGGTTTGTTGTATAACTATTGTCTGGTGGATTCTCCGGTGATATTCAAAACACTTTACTCTCTTCTCACATTTGGTGTTAGCTTGGATCGTAAGTTACCAATGCAAATATGTGTACATGATTAATATTTCTTGTCAGTAGTTGAAGGACGATTAGTGAATAAATTATTCAGTTGTAGAATAATCAAGTGGAAACTTTTCTCAGTGTACATTTTCCTCAAAAGGAACGACTGTTCTATACATATTTGCTTCATTGGCAGCCCGCCAAGATCTCTGATAAAATACGAAATATATATATATATATATATATATATATATATATCAATTGTCACTTGCATGGTTATATATGATTGTTTTGAGTGTGCTGCTCTTATTTCAAATAATACATTACATTTCTTCGTGAAACAATTTCCCCTTCATTTTTATAGTTGATTTACCAAGTATTATCGACCCGCCGGATTCATTGTTTCGAATTACATTAATTTGCACGCTACTTGAAACATCTGGAAGTTTCTTCGATCAGGGTAAAAAGCGACGAAAATTGAACATATTCCTTATATACTTTCAGGTAATTATAATGTTGTTGTTTATTCTCAAAGAAAATAAAAAATAATTTACTAAACAAGAAATTTTTAATACGTATGCTTCCCAAGGCGTTTATTATAAGAAATTGATCAATACGTATTGAGTAGATATTAATCCTTTTTGTATGTTTGTATCGAGGATTTCCACAAATAAATTCCCTATTAATAATTTATTCATTTTTAACAGGATAGCGTTGTGAAGATTGTTGAGTCTCATTAAAATCATGAATCGATCAATGTTAGACAATCGTTGTAAACCTGGAAGTACTGTACGTAGTTTTAGTAGTTCGTAAGCCGTCTTAGTTTACTGATAACGCACCGTGTGTTCGAATACAGAGACAATAATTCATTTAACGTCTCTATCTAGACACACCGGCTTCGGTGGCTTGAACATGAACTACAAATATTGTCCCATCAAATTTCACATCGTACATTATTTGTCAACTCTGGGACTACTTGGAAGAAACAGGTGGTCAGTCTGTGACATAACCTCGTTGTATGAAAGAAAGCTGTACAGTACTAGCATTGGTCGGTCACTCGCGGTCCCGTGGTTAGTGTTCTAGAGATAAATCAACAAAATGACTTCAGACGTCATCAGGATAGAAGGTAATGGCGGCTTTATTGTAATTTTCTCATAAAAGTGAGAGAGACTAACTGAAAGAATTCTTTCTGGTTGTAGCTTTCTTGACTGAATGGCTTTTTTCATTATCTTTAACTTCACTTGTTTTTATTCACTTTCTGTTTTTCTAATTATACTCACTTTCCTTTCTCTATCTCGTCACAATCTCATTTCCTTATTGTATAGGGCATATTTGTTTTGGTGCTTCTTTGTACCAACATATGTATTTGGATGAACAAATAAATAAGCGCTATCTTAAATATCTTATATAGAAATAATATATTCTCAAGACCAGTAGCTTCAGTTGATTATTTAACACAAATTCGTATCATAAATTTATTATGATGAGTTCAATTATGAATAAAGTTCGCGCTACTCAAGTTAAAAGTAATATAACATTCGTTTACAGATTTTCAGATTTACTTTTAAAGTGTATACTATAAGTATATTTTCATGCATCGAACATTGTTGAAACCACTCAGTTCGTTGACTACTTGAAATGCGTGAAAGTTGTGAAATTAATAAGAATACAATATTTTTATATGAGGTTTGTATTACAAAAACGTATTCGTTAATTCAGTCATTTTTCTGAAATTCTCAAGTTTTTAATGCACTTTCTCAATATCGTCATTAATATATGTGTTGTGGATGTTTCAAATAAAATCAAATTACTATCTCACTGTTGTTGACCGATTTTATTTTATACGTTTAACTGACACTTTTGGTACTGTTGATCGTTGACACGAGAATTACATATCCGTACCTGTCTCACTGGTTATATTTTTCGGAAGTTGACAGTTTAACAAAAAAGCTACGATTTGCTCTCGTGTCTATTACGTTATTAAACTGGCAACTTCATTGTTGACTAATTTCTTCGATTGGTTAGGATTTTAAGCAAAGACTAAAGTGAATAGATGCTGCAAGTAGGTGAATAGGATTCACTTGGGATTATTGTCCTTGTTTTACAAATATGGTTGTACCCTATGTATCTCCTGGTCAGTTTTTCATCGTCTAAAAAATATTTTTTTCATCATAATTAGCGTGTTATGTATGATTTCTTCCACCAACGTTTGTTATTCTAGCGTTACTACTGGTTCAAGCGTTCTCTTCCTATATGGGTGCAGTCGAAAAACGACGCCGAGTTATTATCAGCCAAATCAGTAAGTGAAACGAAGACAGATCTCCATACTGGCGAACTAACGTCTTCGGTTGAAGAGCCTGTTGTAAATCATTCTGAAGATTCATTGGTATTAAATAATCCTGAATCATCAGTTGATATCTCTGGTCTTAATTCAGATACCCAAACTAATCTACCTATGTTTGTTCCTGTGCGTTTTCCTGTTGCAGTAGAGCAACAATATTTTGAAACTTTACAACAGTTCCGTGGTAATGTTGGTCGAGCAAAAAATTTCACAGAAGCACAACGTCTCGTTCGTCATCTGGAAGCCCGATGCCTGCCACGCCTTGCACGCCTTAAGGCTACATATGGACTAACAAGTGAATCAGAAAACGTGGAAAATGGTGGTCAAGACCTAAAAATTATTTCAGAGAACAAATCACTTCGACCAACTGGTCCCGGTCACATGGATACGATAGCTGAAGAGGCTGAACAAGAAGATGGTAAGGTTTTCTAACATTTGAAGTAATTGCACTAATTCCACCGCTTTCATGAAGAGTCATTGAGTACATTTGAATTACCATAATTATCATGACCACAGTTTACAATCAAGTAATCAGGAACACATCGTGTGTGAATGACCCAATTTCTGTTACACAAACTAATTAATCTAGAAAGCAAGAATGTTATTTGTATTATAACGTTTTCAAGATTAGCGATTATTTTCATTGTAAATTAAGGCGTCTTATTTTGAAGCAAATTGTATTCAAAGTAAACAACTGTGAGATATTTTAGTCAATTAAAAACATGTGGTTATGTAATTCAGATTTTCCACTCAGTGAAAAAATAGCAGAAGGTAATTATAGTAAAATTCAATCTTTGGAATCTAAATTGGTTAATTTATAAGTCTTGTTAACAACTAAATTAACGTATTAGTTCGATTTTGAGACTCTGGTGTCCTTTATCTAACTAGCCTCGGCTTCTAATCATATTAATTTCTCTTGATGTAATATTGATCAGTATGTATTGAGATATTGGTTTCCATAATTACCGGGTACGTAACTAAATCACTAAAAAAAAAGAAAAACCTAAAAGCCTAAACACAATTCAGACGTGGATATCGATCGAATTTCAATCTTTCTTGGTATACTGAAAAACACTAGTATTCCGTTTTAGCCATATTCCTTTATCTGAAAATATTGTTGGGCCCAACGTGATCAAAGTTCTTATGCGATTGTCTTCATGTACGATAAATGATTGTAGTGTTTCTTCAGCGTAAAGTTAATTATATAGACATAAGAGTTCATTCACTCAAACCAATTCAGACAGGACTATCCAGAAAATTAATGTCCATGTAATTATTCCCAATCAAACATATGGATAACTATAAACGTCTCAATTATTTGCCGTTCGAGAGCAGTTTATAGTTTTTGTTTAACTTTTTAGGAGACATCCAGCTGGGTGACGATGAGTATTCTATGGATGAAGAAGATTCTGACTTGGATGACGAAGATGAAGAACAAGGAGGTGAGACTCATTCATCTCAACGCCGTCAATCTACTGACTTGATAGAATCGGATGGTAGTCGTCGTCGTGCTCGCGTTGATAGCCAACAATCTCAAGAGGATATTGATCTCACACTGGTAAGTGGCTCGGTTCGTGCATAATATATATTGAAATTCAATGTTTAAAACCGTTATGCGAATAACAGTCTTCGTACATTCATGCGCTACGCTAATCACTTCACTACTCCAACTTAAATATCGTGAACGAAACAACCCGTATTCTCTTCTTTTTCCTACCCCACTTACTCAAGTCAAAATTTCAGACTTTGTAGATGAAGCTTTTCTATGTAGGTCCAGTGTAATCAATTCAGAATACAACAAGTTTGTCGATTATATATCAGTAAGAAAACGATGGTTAAAATATTTCAAACTGAGTATTTGTCACATTAACATAGATCATCGTAAAAATCTGTTGAAATTCCCTTAATAGTGTTCCCACTGAATAATGATTTAACTGTAACAGAATCTCAATCTAATCGATGTTGGTTTGCTTTTCATAAGTTGTAACCGGTGATAATGCATCCTCAACAAATTTTTAAATTAATTTCGTCTGCATACTTTAATTTATGTATGCTCTCATTAACTCTTGTGAAATATTATCACTAGATGATTTGGCAATTGTTTTTTTTACTGTATAAAGGAGAAAACAGAAGAAAAAGAAGCAGAGGAAGAGGAGATTGATCAAAACTATGAGTTGAAGCCACGATTTATTGATTGTCCTGAGGATACTGCATTTTGTGAAGCTTTAGATAAAATGATCGCCGAAGCATTATTGTCATCTACATCAGGGAGTAATAGTAGTAATGTCAGTGGTACAGTTACTAGTGTAACCAGTACTATCAATGTTAGTACTGATACAAATCCTGCATCATCTCGAACTCTCAGTGTGAATGTTCTTCCTACTCCAGAAATACTACAACTAGCAGCAGCAAAGAGTCGTTTAGCAATGAAAGAAGATGGCAGTTCATCGACAAATAAAGTTAACCAGCAAGCGATTAATCATCATAACTCAACCCTTCATTCTGTGCCGACAAAATCTAATGGAGATAATTTAGAAATTAATCATTCGGATACGTTGTCAGCTGTAAATGGTGAAGATAGTCAAGTACGTAACATTTTATACATAAGTGTGTTATCACCTAAAATCATATGTCTAAAATATTTCGTCAATAATTCGCCGAGTTGTGTAGCAAATGTAATCAGTTGAGACTGCAGGGGTCATGAAATATAATTTTAGTGTAATATTATTGTGATCAATTTTAAACTGTTTGAAATTAGCTCTATTTCCGTTACTTTTTAACACTACTTTTTAAGCTGTATAGGTTAAGTGCACTACTTCGAACGAGGATCACTTCATTATGTCTTAAGGCCTGTCGAATATCATGTGACAAGATAGCTAGTCAGAATACCGACTTTTGTGATCGTGTCCCTGTGCTAAACCAGTGATGTGCCAAACAGCACTAGCAGCCATGGTCAACGTTGAATCTTTATTAGTCCTCTGTATAGTATCTTCTGGCCTGGTCCAGCCCGTTGAGTCCTAAACGCAAATATCAGCCCCTGTTATATGAATCGTACATTTCAGACATACGTGGTTTTTATACAAGGAGACCAAACCGCGTTACACCATAAAATGAAAAATAATAATTATCACAAACCAATAGTGGTTATGAGTACAGGAGATTGTAACTACTAGATTGGGAATAAGTTGAGAATGGTGAATCGTAGCCAATGGTCAAATGAAAGCTTATGATATATATATATATATATATATAATCTGGTTACTTAATAATTATCCAATGAGAATATATGTAATAATAGTCGATAAATGATTCCTATCAATTACCATTCATTTATCCCTCGTTCGGATGTTACAAACTTTAAATTAATTCTGATTAAATTGGAAACAAAACAAATGAAAACTGAAATCTCGTATTCGATCAAAAGGAACGATGAAATATTGCTGACTGATGATAGACGGTTGCTAATATTAGGACCTAGTAATAGCTAAGTACGAAAAAACTGGACAACTGATCACAAACTTAATTTACTGGCCCGTAAACGTATACGTACATTTTCCATCGTGATAACCATTCAAATTTACTGTCCTCATTTATAAAACTACTGTTAAAGCAAAATCCATTCAAATCTTTATACTTAATGATGAAATACCACTCTCACTTAATCTGAAATAGTATCATGCCAAAAAAAAGATACATGAGCGTTTTTATGTATTTCAGAATTGATGTCTTGTCTTGCTTTCTATGTTTACAAACTCTTAATTTCAAACTGGCAATGTTTACAGTAAAAAATTTTCTTTATTTGTGCCGTCTTAATCCACAGCTAGTTACTTATTATCCCATTCACTTGAGCACTGTAATTGTGTATGGGTACTATGTTAGTTCGTTTGCTCGGTATGTTAGTAATGAAGCAGTACCGTTAATCCATTTCGTATTCGAGGCAATTTTAGCAAGTTATTCAGCAAATAGAACTGTTTTATACCTAGTATCTAAGTTGTCATCGGTTCCAGTTCTCGTGTATGTGTTTAAAAGCTAACATTGAAATATCCATGTTTTGAAATTCTGTAGTCTTATAATATGGAGATCTTCCCTTAAATGGATTACTTTCTGGTTGACATTAATGATGCTAGGATAATCCATTCTTGCCATACTTACTCTGATGGGTTAATGTGATCAGTATTATAGCACAAAGTTTATTATCAAATCTGTTGTACTTTGATTTGTTTCTCTAAGCTTATCGGATCGCCCTCACATATGTGATTTTACTGCTGAACATTACACTCGTTAGAGGTTTTACTAATCTCATAACTGTTTTCTACTATTTTAGAATACTGTTCCCTTTACACTAGTTTCGCGTCGTGGAAATAAACCTCATCTAATTCCATTGGCAGTCCCGGATTCAGTACAATTTGCAGCACGTTATATTCAAGCTGCAGCTGCCGAGAGAGAAGAAAGGGCTCGGATGAAACAACTAGTACTTGAAATGCATGAAGCTCAAAAAGAAGAAGAAATGGAGTGGGGTTAGTCAGTAATAGCTTATATGGCTCTTTCTAAATTCAAATCTGGGGTTCATGAATTTATTTTTACAGTCGTTTTGTAACCTATTCTCTTGTATAACAGTTTGGTTTCTGAATGTTAAAGTTTATGAGTTCTGCTGTATTATTGATAGAAATTTTCAATATTTGACTTTTATTACTAGGTCACTACGGAGGTCCAGATGCTGTTTTGGCTCATCAGTTCCCCGTCAATGCGAACCGTGATCGCTGGGTAAAGTATAATCATCCAAAAGGAGCACCGGACGCCGATGTAGTTTTTGGAACACACAGGTAACTTAAATATCCACCACTATATGTCATCATTTTATTCTGCGTGAAGAAATAAATATACTCACCATTTTATAACGCTAGTCTTTTATCTTTGAATTTTTTCTCTAAGACTATTATGAAGAAATTATTACATTTTTCAATGTAGTGATTTACTACTTGTTAACATAATTTCAACTTCTGAAATTTGTTTTAGATGAATCAGTTATTTTTTTATGTAATTTGGTTGGCTAGTGAATCAGTTTTCATTGTTATCTATCTAGATTTCTGAACTCATCACTCATGAAAGATTCGATGGCTGCCACTTTATTTATTGTTGTATACTCCTCACCGATTTAGACTGAGAAATTTTCGCTACTAGTTACTTTCACTGCATGGCAACACAAAGTGCAGTATACCCGTACGTCCAAATAAGAGAGTGGAATTAAAGGTCGGAATCGTGACACAATAAATCGTGTTTATATAATAACAGATATGACCTTAGGACATATCATTTAGAATATACAAATAACATTGTCGTACTTAAAAATAGTGATGCTGATGCTAGACAAAAGAGATAATTATATTATTTCGACGTCTTTGCTATTTATCTTGTTAGCTTCATCTCGTAGTGTTATTCTGTTATGGCAACTTGTGCCACCACACGTTTATGTTGGACTGTATGTTACGACTGACTGATTTGAAGAATACAGCAAATCAAGAGGAAAACTAGCCAGTCAGGTATTAGCAAATTTGGTGAAATATGATTTCGAAATGTTAACGAGAAGTACTTGTTCATGAAAATTACTATGTATTAGTAAGAGTAATAGACAAATAATTTGAGGCATCCTTAGCATACAAGTATGTCAGTGTTTTAAGTTTCTGAAAATTAAGGTATTTTGAAAACTCAGATTTATAGCTAACTTTAAAAAAAAGGTTTTTTGCTTTTAGGATATTATCATCTATTGATGTTTGTTTGTTAATCAAACGCGGTTGTGAATGTGACTCCAGATGCAGAGATGTGTCTCTAAAACGATTAAATAAGAAAACTTTCAGTTTACTCTAGCAATATTTTAAATTAAAAAGATCAAGGACAACATTTTATGACCAGAATAATATGAGCTCATTTTATTTTGCTCAAAATTAACTCAATCTCTTGTATAAGATTGGTAGTATAAATTAGCTCAGTAATCCACGTAAAAATCAACGGTCATATATACAAATTAGTTCCCATGCCGATTAAAGTTTATTTCATTGATGTTAAATATTTGTCTTCATTCACTCTTTGTTCTCTTGACAGTCAAAAACGATGTGCCAATTAATGAGCGTATCCTGTTAAAAAGATTTGTTAATCATGGTCATCTGTTTCAAAAAATGAGACAATTTGAAATGGGAGAAGTTATGGATTGTTCGATATTCAACGAATCCTTGTGTGTGTTGCACAGCATTCTATGGGCATAGCATGTGTGCAAGTATGTTGAGATGCAGTTTTGATGAGTTGAACAGACAAGATGTTTTAAAATGTAATCAATAAAAGAAATATGTATTTAAGTATTTTTTTCCTTTCCTCACTTTCTTCCTTACTTTTCAATTGTTTTATAAAAAGAAAGTTTTTAAAAGAAATACTTCTCATTAATGAAGATACAAGTCACATAGTAAAATAAGACTGGGTTTTGGTTGTATGAACTTATTTTATTTTGGATTTCTAATTATTAAGTGTATGTACTCATGTTTCCAAGTTCATTATTGTGCTGTTTTATTCATTCTGTTGTTTATTGTCCTCCTATGTAAGAAATAACTATATTATTATCCTTTGAAAAGTTTAAGCGATTGCTATGAGATCGTTTATCTTGAACTATTATGCTGCGATCTTCACATTCAACAAGGACTGCTGTATTCTCATTCTTTGTCCGTCTCGCAGTTTTTGGTCATTCAAAATACAGTTGTTTTATTTCTCATATAAGCTGTGTTCTTTTCAAATTTATAAAGATTCGTTACGAACAATTATCTTAGTAATTTTCGAAAAAGAGCTTAGGCATGTCCTGGTGTTGTTCATGTCACTATAATAAACTATGAGGGGCGAAACTTGTTCACACTCGGTTTGTATAAAAATATCGGCTTACTAAATTTACGGACCATCACGGACATGTTCGAGATCGTTGAGTCTCATTCACGGGGTTGTGTTAAAGTATATGGTTCTGAACAGTAGGATATATCAGTTTGTCAACTCTTATTGGTTAGGAATAGGTTTTATGTAACGCAGATTATGTTGTCGATGATGACTTACATTAGTAAAGACCATTTCATAAGCATACTGTCCGTTTGGCTAAGTAGTGATTTGATTGTTACCGTTTTTAGATGAAATTGTTCGTAAACGATAATTCATTTTAATCGCTAGACTAACATCGTTCTTCGCGAATTTTCGGTAGGCCATACAATCACTAACTTGTTGATTCAGTCGAGTTAATATATTTCCAGTTAAGCTTATTTTAGTGTTCGTATAAGACATTTGTTTCGTAAACATCCTGTCGCGTTATTCAAAATCTAATGCAATACATTCAAGTGCGCACACAGTTATGACCCAGTCGTGATTATTGGAGTACGTACTGGTTAGATCTAGGAATTCCCTAATCCACATGTAACAATCGATACCACTAAATCTTCGAAATATCTTACTTGTTAGGTTATATTTTGTTTGCCTTCAAGCCTGTGAACAACTTCAGTATATTGCACTTCCCTAATAAGATTTATGTCAATTTGGACATCACCAGTAAACCAAAAGGTATCCTATGTAGTGAATTTAATTTCACTCGGACTTAACAGTATGGGTAACGCTTTATTGTGTGTTACCTACCGGATTTTATCTAAAGTTTGTTGTGTGACAATCAAGCTAAGTCACTAAAAATCCCGCAAGGACTTCATTTGAAAAAATTCACATTTGGACTTATATACTACGTATACCTTCACTCGGTAGTTATCAGTAAAGACAAGTTGTATTTTACGGAAGATATATAAAACAACAATCAGAATTGGATCATATTGTTCTCATGCTGGAGTTAATGAGGTAACAAACTAATCAATTCGGTACAATCTCTGTTAAACTGTTAAGTATGATCACCCAACTAGCATGCATCCTTATTGTAAAAGCTAACATCTCTCTCGCGAAGATACAGATCACAATGGTTGACACAATCCCTAGTAACATTTTACTCTAAACCACAACTTCCGAACCTGATATAGGAACCCTTCTCAATCAAAACAGTACTTATGATAAATATACCATCTGTTACACAATATTCCAACTCTCAAATAATCAATGATTGACTTTGGTATTTTGCATTTACGGTATCATAACTTTGTACAGAAACTGATCAACTTTGAAACAAAATGAACCTTTGTATACAAGAAAAATAAATGAAATCACAGTGGTAATTCATCTGGTCTTATGGCAAGTCTAACATCTTCAGGAAATAGTTCACTCGCTCTTGAGTGCATTGCACGATAAGTACATGTGATAGTAGCCTCAGCGCATCCCGCCACATCACCAATTTCTACAAAGGAAATTATCACATTGTTTATTAACAGATAATAATTGGATGTAATATAACGTTTAGGTACATGTTTTGAGGATTTTTATCTACGCTGCAACCTGAAAGTATCTTCGATAGCATAAAGTGGTCAATATTTGTGTCATTTTGTCGCCTTTTTCCAAGCCTAAGCTATCTTAACTGGTAAGTGCTTTTTTTTAATGTACTGAACGATTATTCGTTACAATGTTAAGCAAAAAGGCCAATGTTAAGTGGTAGTTGCATTCCAAGCACTAGATTCTAGTTAATATTTATTCGTTTACAAATGAGAACCACCATATGTGTACCTAGTACAAGACATTTTATAGACCTTGGTTGGCAATCAAAGCTCAGCTATTTAAGCTATTAATACGGCCCTAAGCAGTTTATACTATTAAGTTAGGACAATTCATGTAGTCCAATGCAAAACCTATAAGCTTACATTAGCTAATAACATAATTTAGGTATAAATGACTAATATTTTGTTAACACAAACTAGATGGACTAATCAAATAGGAAGTTCATCATGACAACGTACGTACTACGGCAATATTGTTAGATACAATTACGTTTTTAAAATTTACATACATAAGCTGAACCATAACCACACAAGCAAACTGAAGTACAAAGAATGTTTTAAAATATCGTACACCTAGTTCATTTGCAGTCTTCCTACAAACACATAGAAAGTGCGGCTCAGAGCCGAGTACGAATTGCCTATAATTGGTGCATTAGCCACCTTTAGTTATGTATCAATTATCGAACGAAACGACCAACCAATGGGTAATGACCATTACGAAAAAAATCAGTTCACATGATGTCTGAGTGGTAATAATAGTTATCAGATACAAATAACTGTTCCACAAGGGTAAAGAAAATGGACTGCTGTAGTTTGGAGTAGTATCCAGGAATTTAACTTCTAATCCCTGCCCTCTGCTCTAATGGACCTTACTGAATATACAGCAGTAGTCAGCAGGCACTATTTCAACCTGATAATTATGTTTGCTATCTTCACTTAAGTGAATAACATTTACTACTGATCGCATTTATAGCGTACCAGCCAATTCGTATTCCTTCTGATGTAAATCTATAAACATATTTTTGTGAACGCTGCTGGTAAAAATTGAACTATGTTTAAGACAAAACGATTAATCAAAAACCGAAACGGTTATCGAATTAATGATTAGAGAATGTATTGATTATTTATACCTGAAATATTTTTACCAAGTTTAGTAAGCCACCAAGACGTTATCATATAACGTAGCAGATTTCTATCACTCTGATTATTTTACATAACATGGAAGTAAACATTGAAAACAATAACATACACTATGGTTTGTCTGTGAAAAGAAACTGTGTTAATTCAACTCTATATAGATACATAGAATTCTAAATTCTTTTTAAAATCTAAAAACACTAACTTAATATACGAATATTCGTCAATATTTAAGCCAATAGTTTGACAGGAATTAGTCATCAAATATACAAATGTTATTTATGAAAATTATGTTTGAAATAATCTTAGTGATTGAAATTTAAATCATTCCAAAGTTTCGTCCAACAAACTTATCTGAACTTCTTCAGTGTAATAGTCAAGATCAAAATTATCAAAGAATATTTAATGTTCAACAATTAAATCTACACTAAATACTTATACAATCATATTCAGATGTTGATTTTAGTAACTAGGATAATAAATATGAGTCAATAACATGTGAATCATGTGAAAAATTCATAATTTAAAATTAAATGAATGAGTGATTTTATGTATGGCTGTATATATGTAATTTTCATGTTATTAATAGTTGATAGAAGATTTTAATTTGCTTTTTTGTTTATTAGAAGAATAAATGTGCAAATTGAAAATGTTTTCAAAATATCGATGTATATGTAAAATGAGAATCATCAAATACATAATTGTAATGATGAAATATTTAAATTAATTTCTATCAGCATAACTGTGCATATGAAACAAACAGATTGGATAGAGATATGGTCCAAATACTTGTTACTAATGGTTGAATACCTCTTGATTATTACCTTAAAGAAGTTCAGACAAGTTTGATAAACGAAACATTGAAATTATTTAAATTTCAATCGGTGAAATTATTTCAAATATAATTTACACAAAATCTGACAATTTTGAAAAACTTTACCATCAGTAAATGAAGAAAACAATGATAGTTACCTCGTTTTTCTTTACGATAACCTAATGCATAAGCTGCCATGTAAATGGCTGCGGCTGCCACCGAAACTGGGCTACGACCAGCAACTAAATTTAAGTTAAGAGCTCTTCTAGCAACCACATTTGCAACTCTTTGAACAGTAATGTTCAAATTGAGATTACCACAGAATCTAGACATGAAGTCTTCAACTGTAACCGATTGTACATTTGTCTCAAGTATTTTTAGAATCTTTTTAAAAACTTTTCCTATTTCTTTCTTTGATACTCGTGACACAGCGCATACTTCTGAAAAAGACAGAAAAATATGAAACATTTTTTATTCATAAACTAGTCATAATAATTGATATGACAGGATAAAAATGCAAAATTACATTCCTAGTTCATTGTGATTCTTATTTTACATTACTTACACTTTTAATTCTAAATGATGATTATTCAATATAACAGTGATTTACATCAGTTTGATGTTTATATTCAAGACATAATATTCTTGTATAAACTATGTTTAACATGACATGAAGTATGTGCGATTTTGTTATCAATTCATATACCTAACTTTTCACTAAATAATGATTAAATACGTGTACAAATCGATATATAGATGAATACATTTTTAATTAGATTATTCATTGTGTTTTGAGATGAATAAATTTCTACTTGTATCAGATTTGGTGTATTTTAGTTCGCTTCCTCGGAACTGTAACGGTTCTTCGTTTTTAAAATATAAGTACCAATCGATGTCGATAAAATAATAACAAATGAAAGTTCGAATTCACACATCAGTAAACTATGATATCAAAATCAACATAATAAAAATGGAAAACTGAAATAATTAATCTCTAATATTTTAAGATCACGTAGACCCAACTAATTCGTCTAATTTTTTTTAATTAACTGCTCTATTCCAAATTCTACTTCCAAAACTAAAGTATATAACTTTATACTCATCTCAGTAGGATAACACTGATGCATTGGAAATCAATTTATTTAGTACCAGTATACGAGTTCTAATACAATAGGGCACCAAAAGGAAAGCACCGCACAAAGGGAGTGATAACATTGTGAAGGAAGAGAAAGGTAATGGAATAAACGAAGTAAATGGAAAGTAATAATTAATAAGAGATACAGTTCAGTTAAAAATGTAAACAAAAAGACATTTCTCAGTTAAGGAAGATCACCTAAACATTTTTGGCAATGTAATAAAAAAACTACAAAAGGACTTTATTTGATTTCGATCTTATGTTATATATGATAACGCCTTAAGCAACTGAGTTGTATGACCGAGTCAACGAGCTCGGTGTTTCAAGATGACACTAATTAAATTATCGTCATTAGGCCCGATTACACACGGTTGAACCCGGGTACTACTAATAAAGTGTTCCAAAAGGATGTGAGAAATTCTTCACAGACAACTATGATCGAATACATATGATAATGAGTAGTTGTGAAATGGAGTATCAAATGAAGTGTAGAAATGCTGGGATTTCCAATTTTTTTAAAAACTGTTCATTTAAAATCTGTATCGTGAATCTCTTTGTAATGTTATGAGAAAAAGTATGCAAAATTTGGTACATCGTAAATAAATATTTATTGTGTTGTATATTGTGTCATCTACTTGTTTTTATTTATAAAGATGGTTCTAGTACGAAACAAGCATTAATAAGAGTAAGCCACCTAGCGTTGAGTAATCCTATACACATTTGTTTACTTCACTTTTAGAAGAATTAACTTTTATCATGATTTGACTTATGTAACTAAAACGGTACAATTCAATGGTACTAGAATCTGAAAAACTGAGAGTACATTTTAACTCTTATTCTCAAATTAGAAAACTAATTCCTTTACAGTACGATCATTACATTATTCACACTCATACAAACATGCACAAGAAAACATATTACACAGAAGTATTCAAGACGTGGATGACATAACATTATCTTGACTAGATATCCTTGTATTTAGTAGATATTTAATTTAACTTGTTTGTCATGCTACGTACGTTTATACTGGGTTGGAGAATTTTTTATTGTCCGAAGAAGCAATTAACAGTAATTTGCGAGATATTACGAAATGCATTGCAATTTTTATTAAGAAAAATAATAATCAGTCAGTCAGTCTTACATAACACGGAACCTGGTACATACATGGGTAGGTTCAAGTTACCACACTACATCAGCACAGCGAGATAACAGTGTAGTATAAGTAGTAACAGTATTACCGATAACATTAGGTATAAAAGATATAATTCGATAAGAAATGGATTCGTAGAATAAATCTTTCTTAAGATGATTAAGTAACTTAGGATCCGAGGGGAAAAAAGTGAATGAACCTGCACCATTGCGGACAATCTTGATAACTCCGTGATGATTGATAGCAACCGATAGTTTTAAACTATGGTTTTGTGTTCATTGATAATCACCAGAAAGACTAAGAATAAAAATATATATGAGCGTTTCTAACTCAGTAACATATAGTTTATGTTGATCATAAAAGAAAACGTCCCCATGCATGAGAACAAACAGCCTCCGAAAACGTCTGTAGATAAATATAAATGGTTGATATGCTTGATAATTTAGTAATACAAAAAGAGCTTTATGTTTGAATTCATAGTTTTATATGAGTTAGTTAACCTTTTGGAAATTTAAATAAACTTTAACATATGTCGCTAATATAAAGATTAAAAGCAACGCTAATGCTTCTCATCTACTTATTAATATACAATGTGTGGTATTATCTAACATATTTCACGTGAGATATTGATTAAGCATAAACAACTAGTAAGAAAATGTACTGAGATCCTTTCACTACATCTTTATGTTGTGTGTGCTTAATATTAAGTGAGATTAAGTCTTATACCAAAAAATAAATATCCGGCTAAAAACTTATTACACTGTCACCTTTGAAAGTCCGAGGGACACCCTCTTGACGACAGGCCATGTAGAGACAAGCAGTTGAGACAGCATCATTACTGCGACCTCGAAGATTTTTAGTCTCATGGACTTGTTTGAACAGCAAGTTAGCATGGTCCTACAATATTTCAAAAAGGAAGACGATATGTAGGGAAAAAGCAACTTGGACTATTTCTAACACAATTAGAGAAAGCTTGTTTAAAACTGAGTTATTAAGATGAGATTACATTAACATATGAACATTGATTTTGAAAAACTCTAAGTCGTTTAAATTCAATTACTATTTCAAACACCATAACATTCTTAACATAATGTTGTCGCTGTTTGATTAGCTATTTTCTTATTACAATACTTGTTTTTGACACTGCAAGCTGAAAATAATATTTTGATTCAAATTAGTGACCAAGGCAATTCTGGAATACCCTCATCTGGTTTTCTTTTGATATACATATATCTAGCCTCTCGTAGGAAATTTCCACTTACAGCCTACATCGAAGATTTTTAGAAGCAGTTAGGGAAGATTGATTCTTCTTTAATGAGTAACAGAGACTTATCTTTTAATAAAATGGAATTATCAGGAATCCACACCATTCTGATAAAATTATTTTCGACTACAATATTCGAGTTATTCAGAATAGGTTGCTTGATCACTGTTACTTGGGTTTTACTGACATATTTATCGGTTTATAAATAAAAAGTGAACAAAAATGTGATGGTTCGAAGTAAACTATAGTAATTGTCAATTTAGATATTTTAACATCCACTTGGAAATATAATCTTGAGATTAAGCACGGGTACTTTTGTATGCTAATTCTTTTAAGCTTATTTAGGTAAACATGTATATTGGTTTTGACTGATTCATATGGACGGCTAGTAGGAAGAGCCAAATTAGAGGGAAGGTGAGGGATATAGTCAGGATTAACCCTATTATTAGCATCCGGTGACTGATACGATTAGTGGCATAACATTACGATAACTTATTTAGTCACCAATAAGGTTTAGCGGCCTGTTTTTTCATAATAATTTAAATACTTACGGCACCACAATAACTGCAGTTTATCACCAAAAATTTTACCCTGTCAGCAAGTTATGACCAACATAAAACTTGACAAAATTTTATACCATCCGAAATCGTCACACCACATAAGCATAATGAGATGGAAGGTGATGACTGGTTATGTGTAACACATGTCTTGACTTTCCAAGATGATGAATGTTGACATCATCGACTAACTAGCATTATTCACCCAGCACCCTATATCTGACTACAGAGTTGCTTGCTCAGTCATTCCACTGCATGGGAGCAATACTTTGAAGGTATTCGTGGTCAAATGCTAGCAATCTACGAATGCATTCTAATTTTACAGGACATGTCTTAGTCATTAAGTAAAAGAGGATTGGTAGGTGGATATCTCCCACATATAAATGATGTAAAAGACAATTGAACTTTTAGAATCCGTACTGAGATTTATTCAGTCACAAATCCGATGGGGGTGATGAAACTTCCAAGATAAGTAGTTTCCTTTAACTGTACAAGATACCCAGATGTTAATCAAACAAATTGGTGGGTAATGTTCTTTTTGTTTTTTTCGCTCAAGATAACTGACGTAAGTTAACATTTAGTTGTTAGAAAATCACTGACAACACTTATAGGCATGTCTGTTAATTCACTGGCTTTAAAAAGTAAAGCTGGTTTTCTAGATTTCAAATACTATGTATCCATGATGAGCCAGTTTATCCAAGTGAAAACAGCTATCTGACGCCACAAATAGCATTTACAGATACATTGTACATCATTAACACAACATGAAGGATGGTTATGCTAAACAACGTGAGCATGTAAAATTTATTTGTTACATGTATATTTTCTCTACAAGTAAGGCAGCTTTTATCCTGTACATAGGTGTTTTTGCAAGTGCGTGTCTAACGAATAAAACTCCACGAACTGAACTTTTATGAACTATTAAGTGGATCGGACCTACTGTAGGGTCTAATGACACGTTAAAAGCATACATTTTAATCACAGTCAGACAGTCAGCTACAACGTAAGACCAGGCACATATTTCCATCGGCCCAAGCTGCCATACCTTATTAGCACAACAAGATGAACACCAAATTCATAGGAGTAGTTAAGTCAATGGTGATAATATATAAAAGAAAGATTGTATATAAGGGCATAGTACATGTAGAAAGAATCAGTTCGAAGAAATATATGAAGCGATTTTAATCTCATAGTTTAAAGGAAGACAAAGAGTGTATACGCATACGCCATTGTGAACGATTCTGAGCCATGTCACGCAGAGTCTCCCACCATGGGTTACAATAGTCACGCGGACCCCAACCAAGTAGTCTGCACCTACCAACATGGCTCAGACCAGAAGTTAGTGACTTCAAGCACTGATGTCGCGTTTTGGTTTGGCCGTCCCTAACTTTCTTCCAACCATCCCCAACACTAGTCACCATTGCACGTCGTGGTAATCGGTCTTCACGCATACGTAACATGTGTGCCAACCATCACAGTCGATGAAGATTCACAACTTCATCAACTGATTTACCATCCTTCCCTAATACCCTACGTCTAACCTCACTATTACTTACCCGGTGGTCCCAGCAGATGAGAGCAATATTTCTATGGCATCTGTGGTCAAATATTAGTAGCTTACGAATATCTCCTACTCTTAATGGCCATGTTTCGCAGCAGTAAAATAAAGCAGAACGAACTGCCGCGCAATATACTCCTCCCTTAATTGATAGACAGACCACAGAATGGGATTCGACTACGTTTCCTTGGTTAAAATTTTCGCGCTCGGTCCAATGAACGCGTCAGATATCAGCAACAACAAATCCTGTGATATACGACTGCATGAAATGGAATCGGTGTATTTTGCCAATCGATAGGAGGGATGATTTCGACAGAAATTTCACAACTACTAGTCACAATGTCTCGAACAATGTGCGAAAAGTTGGCATACAAAAATGAGGTCACCATTACAGTTGTATGTTTAGAAGGCTTTAAAACAAATGTCCAAGACTTCGTATTGACCTACAGTATAGTTTTCTTACATAATGGTTCCAAATGGGTTTCAGATATACATATAAAATACAATGAAAACTTATCGTGAAACTAGGAATGAAACTTACTGATATGCTTTTGGGGAGATTTAGATGTTCGCCCATTTGACTGATTTCTCTGAACGCACTCAAAAGTACCCTATCAGGCGCAGATATATTGCGACGGTTTCGGTACATTGGCTTCCCATGCTCATCAAGTTGTCGCGAGTCAGAAGGTGATGGACCACTGATCATGGTTGAAAGATCACCCCCATCTAACAAGAAGTTTTCACTAGCTCCTACTCGACACATATCTTTGGCATTGGCATCATTAGAAAACGTGCGCCATTCAGACCCGACGTCAATTACTCTGCACGAAGCGGATGCAAAAACCATGTTTATTGTGATAAAACATACCTATCAGCAACAACCAATCCACACATCGAGCAAACCATATCCCCAGCATGAGAATCTTCAATAAGGACTGCATATGGATGATACTTACACTCTAGATGACTCCTTTAGAAATGAGGAGAATTATTAAGCTTTATAGCGTTTACATGGTGTGTCAGATATTGCCTTGGTAGACACGATATGTTAAGTGTCAGGTCAACAGTACTTCGACTAGAAACCTTTGGCAACTAAATAACTTCACACTTTCCTTCGGGACGAAGCTCGGAACAGTTTCAAGAGAGTCTCACAAATATTTTAACAGATAAGATATCAAAAAACAGCTGGAAAGGCCAGCTACTCAAATGAACAAGTCAGTTTAGGTGTAAACCAACAACGACCTTGACGGGCCGAAGTAACCGCGGGCATTTTGTATTTGAACGACACTAGGTGACCCGCTAGATTACAGATTCAGATTCCGATTTGTGTGGTAAGGACAGAAGGCCTACAGCCTATGTTATTCCTATTCTGGTATGCTTCTGTGAGTGTCCAGTCTTCTGTTGAAAGAATCAATTGAAGGTGCGGACACCACTGCTTCAGGCAGCAGGTTCCAAGTATTGATGACTCGGTGTGAAAACCTGTATGCCAAAGGTATTTTGTTAGTTTACGGTTTTTCTACTCGCCTGCTATGTCCTCTGAGGTGTCCCGATCTAGTGGGAAGAAAAAGAGAGAATAAGTCAGGTTCAAAATCATTTCTCAGTATTCTGTACATCAAAATTAGATCTCCCCTTAGTCTGCGATAGGACAGAGTAAAGGGGTCCAGTTTTTCAAGCCGCTCTTTATATGATAAACCCCGGAGTTCCGGCATTGCACGAATAGCTGCCCTCTGTACGTTTTCTAGTATGTCCGAGTCACCTTTTAAGCAGGGGCTTGCAGCCTGAAAAAATTTTATACTCCGTGCAAAGACGGAGTTGGAAAAAATGAGTTAAGACTCACTGTATTGTGCCTCCCCACGGAAATGTTTAGTAAAAAGCGAAAGATTTATCCGCAAATGAGGAGACATCCTAACTTGACTTCCTGGTATATATACGTCTGTAACCGCCAGATAATTTGTAAAAAATTATTAATAATGGATCACTTAGACCATTGTTTGTTGCTTTTTATCCTGAACCAAACTAAGATGTTCGCGTTGTTGTGATGTTTCATACTTATTGATAGTAGCAGTACTATCGCATCAACTAGTTTCAATACGGCTTCTATAGACCTGGAAGTTACTTTTTGACTGGATACTCAATCACAGGTTCTTCATTTGGACAGAATTCGAAGGCCGCTTTAAAGATTTTCAGTCTTCAGTGAAGGATAGGGGGTCAATCGACCTATATTAATCCCTGCAATTTGTAGTGCTGTGGATATCTAGTCTCTCTGAATGTATCGGAAACTGATAATATTATGTGTTCCATAACAGAATTAAAATAATCTACTACTTGGTGAGTGAAACGGAACTTCAGACACAAGCGACTTTATCTCAGTCTTTAAACTTCCTGAGAATGTTTTCTTAGATGACCAATTCTATGTGGAAGGGAAAGGTAACACATATTGATGCTAAAATCATTGTTCAATGTAAAGTAGATCAAGACTAGATCACGCCGCATCGTGCTCTAAGATGGCAGAAATAGGTCGAGGAGTTTCAGTCCGTTTTCATGCGATAGGCCAGAGAGAAGTTTTACCATTTTGGCCCCTCGCCTCTGAACTCGTTCTGGCATATCCGTCCCAGACTTGAAACAAGGGTTTGGTGCTTGATCAAACGAGGCCTCACGAAAGTCGGGTATGATACCCTAAACGTTTCTTTATTTAAGTAATGAAATACCTTGCGAATAGCCAGTAAGACCCTAAACCCTTTGGCAGTGTCTGCCTTGCAGTTACCCGTAGTTTTGTGACCACTGCTTGATATGACTCCTTGAACTTGATGGTTTATTGATTTGCGTAACACAACTTCACATATTGTGCAGTGATATGAATCGTCGCAGTTATTTAATTGCATTGCCACACTATTGTTAGAATTTACTTCTAATGACCACCTGCACATCCTTTCAACCAATGAATTGAGATCATTCTGTTATAATATCTGACATATCCTGTATGGGTCTCCAGATTTCCATATCATTGACAAGAAGTGGAACGGATGACTTTGATACTATTGCTAATTCATTTACATTAAGAAAAAAAGGAGGACCAAGGATTGCGTTTTGGGGAACTTCACTTTTCACAGGCTCCCATGCTGAGATTTCTATTCATCCTTGCCCGCTATCTCCTATCATTAAGAATGTCACTTATCCAATCTGCGGTTTCACAAAGGATTCCGAAACTTTCCAGTCTTTATTTAATACTCAAATGAAAGACCCTGTCAAAAGCTTTACTTAGGTTTACGAAAATCACATCTATAGGAATATTTCTACCTTCTGCTGCAGCACGATCTTCTCTTGCAATGAGCAGATTTGTCGAACATGATGGGCCATTCTTAAAACCGTGTTATTCCCTGGATAAAAGACTTTGCCCTTCCATATAGTTTAAACTAGCCATCCGAATAACCCTTTCCATTACTCTGAAAACTGCACTGGTTAAACCAAAGGGTTGATAGTTACTAACTAAGTCTCCGCTCCCTGTCTTATACACTGGGATGCGGCAGAAACATATCAAACAGCATAACCATAGGTCCAGCCAAAACGTCCGACAGCTCTTTCATAATTCCATGATGAATATCGTCAGGAACACTGGGCTTATCCGGTTTGAGATGTTGAGTTGATCTTAAGACAGTTTTTCTCGATGACAACCAGACCTGGTTATGATTAGTTGTTGATCTTTCCTCATTGCCCGTAGAAAACACTTCACTAAAATATTTCGATAATGATTAAGCTTTTTCATCATTTCTTGCAAATATCAACAGATTTTCCTGTACCAGAAGGGGTGAGATTCCATTACTTCTCTGGGTCTGCCTCTTTAAATATGAGAATAATTTCTTCAGAATATTTCAACAGCCCATAAAAAGTCATTTTATATAACTATCTAGTCTTACTTATCAACTCTCTACAAGCATTCCTAATCTTAAAATAACTGTATCTGCACCGTTTTAAGCCTGTAAAGATTAACATATCCCATTGCTTTATCATGCGTCTAAAAAGTTTCTTGAATTGTTCATTTATTTATGATGGGTAGTTGTTTGATCTACATGATAATAGGCATGATATGAACTAGGATGTGGCAAGGCTAGGAGTACTTTTGTGTATGGTCCATGCTTCTCCAATTGGTGAGCTATTATTCACTGACCAGTTTGTTGTCGTGGCGCACTCCTGGGTAGTCTATATTTTCTCTCTCCACACATTTGGGTAGGATTTAGTCTGATCGCATATCATTTCCTAAGCTCTAAACATGAATGACAATCAGCATAATCACTATTTGCTGACAGTGGGAGAATATTTAGATTAGCCATTTTCTCGGACGCATGAGTGATCAATTCCTGTGATAGCCATCTCTATTCAGTCAAATATCAAGTGCATTAAAATCTCCTAGTTCTGGGCATTTTTATTTTATTCCTATACATGGATGTGCTTTGATTCATCAGCTGAGCAGATTAGGCTTCAATACATCACACTGATTATAAATCCACAACATTCAAAAGTGACTTCACAAGTTCAGCTACTGAGAAATTCACTGAAAAGAAACGGAAGTTTTTATTAAGGATCCTGGATCCATTCCTGTGCCTATTTCAATCACTTCTCAGTTATTTATATCCCGATAATTCAGGAGCGATGTCATAGTCGTAGACTAAACAAGCTTTTGTCGCAGCTACGGTGAGTGGCTTTAATTCGCACACTGCTACCTCTAGCCCATGGAATTTGTTTCCTAGGCTATGGCCACTTGTATATAAAAGCTTCAGAGAGAACGACCTATTCATGCAAGCCTTGGCAAAATTCCCATCCAACTGACTATTCGAAAACACATAGAGTGGAGATGCAGTGGAGAATATTTTTAGCCCGGGTGGGTGGTTTTGATGTAGTTTTGTCCTCTGACCTGGACAGTTCGGTCGTAGAGCTTTCACCACTCTTCTGAACGACATCATCAGCACAAACTTCAGATGCAAGTGAAGTGTTCGAATTTCTCCACATGTGGTTCACAGCTTGTCCTGTACACTTTGATGTTGATTGGTTCTTGTTGACCTTAAACACGTCATTTTATTACTTCTTTGTTTTGGTTGCATCTTCTATTGGTTTGATTTTGATCAATCAACGTCGAGGTGTACGGGACAAGCTGTGAAACGCATATGGAGAAATTCGAACACTTCACTTGTATCTGAAGTTTGTGCTGATGATGTCGTTCAGAAGAGCGATGAAAGGTCCACGACCAAACCGTCCAGGTCAGAGGACAAAACTCCATCAAAATCACCCACCCGGGCTAAAAATATTCTCCACCATCTCGAAACCATATGGGGTTTCTCAAAAAATGCAATAATACACAAGTTTCAATGTTAGCATTTGAGAAAGAGAATAATAATAATAGAATAATAACAAATCAGGTTCTGTGTAATTGAGAAGAATATTGAATTGAGTTTAAGGAAGGAAAGGGAGAAAATAATAGAATAGAAATAAAGGGGACGTGAAATGCGCAAATATTTTAATAAGCGTGTTTACGAACACAGAACAAGAATAAACGACTATGCATGTATCGTCAAATTAGCAACCAAAATAAAATAGAAAATAATTAAGAAAAAATAACTTATAATTGCGGTAAGATATGACGCTAGAATAAATGCTTGTGCAGTCATAGTTTGGAGTGATGCTATGAAAGTCCCAATTGAGTGAGAAGGATAATGAAATATCCATATGTCAGAGTCAAATATGTACAATGAAGATAAAACGAGTTTGAGAAGTTAAGTGTAACACAAGTCATTGTTTTAATTAAAAACTTCGTAAACTTAAGAATAATATTTATTTAGATGGAAAAAAGGGAGAAAAGAAACGAAAATCTAGTGAAACGGTCCAATCATTATGATAATAGTTGTGTAATGAATATCGACCTCTGAAGTAAGCCAACAATTAAAAAATAAAAAATAAAAAATTTCTTTAGCGCACTCAAATAAATACACGTGGAATTATGTAATAGTATACAGAGTAAAACTTGGTATCAGCATAAACTTTTGTGCAATAATAATTCAGGATGATGCTATGAAAGTCACAACTAATTCCAAAGGATAATCAAATATAAATTTCTCTATGTTATATGTATGTGTATGGTGAAGATAAAACTAATATGAGAAGCTAAGTTATTAACGTGTACCGTGAGATAATTCGTTATTTGTTACAGACCTCGAATGTTTAAAAATAAAATATGCTTAGAAGGACAAGAAGAGATGAAAAGAATATCTCATGTGTCGAGGGACCAATAATGATATTATT